ATGGCCTCCAACCTACCAGCGATGGCCTCCAACCTAAGAGCGATGGCCTCCAACGTAAGATCGATGTCCAACCTACTAGCGATGGCCCCAACCTACTAGCGATGGGTTCCAACCTACCAGCGGTGCTATGTGGCTGTGGCTTCTTGTTGAAGTTATAACTTAGGTTATAAGTTCTTTAACGTAGGTTATAAACTATATAAGTATTTTAAGTATTCGCCTCTACTTATAACTAATTTGGTGATCTTATAACTAACTTATTGTATTTATGCTCTCTACTTAGTTCCTACTTAAGGTTAACTTAGGTGCGACTTAGGTTGAACTTAAGACCCATGTTTTTGAACTATTTGACGTGATTATGTTTTGTAATTTGTGGCTCAAGGGACCCGTTGCACGCTTATATATGAACGGCGAAAGGTGAGATAGGTTTTGTCCGTTCGAACTATGGCCAATCTGCAGGTCTGTCAAATCCTTCAAGTCTTGGTGGACAGACTTGATGGGGCGACAGGACACTTGCGAACGGAGCAGGTACAAGGCATTTGCGCCTGCGCAAAGTGGATGAGGTCTGAACTTGCTTGAACTTTTCTGAACTTTTCTTGGTGGACTTATTTTCTGAACTTCGAAAGGATGAGGGTCGCGGCCGAGCTATCCATATCCACATCGGATAGATCGGCGTAGCTGTACTGCCCAAACAGACCTCTTTCCATGGCCAGGGCACAAAAAAATGCGTGCTCTGGAGGGTTGGGGGAATGTAGGCGAGGAATCTAGAAAATCAAGCTTTTTAGATGTAGGCGCAACTAAAGTAAACATACAGACAATGTAGGCGAAATGTAGGCGAATGTAGGCGGAGCAAACGCAAGCGCAGCTTCTGGTGGCTTTTTTGAGTTGCTTTGTTCCGCAGCACGGGAGCAAGCAAGCACAAATGGAGCAAGCAAGCCGGCCTGCACTGGAGATCAGGCTGCATTCACAGATCCAACCCTCCGGCAAAGCATAAAGTGTCATTTGGTCTCAAGGAGACTGCGCGTGGCAGATGTGTTGCTTTGGGAAGGTGAGTCAGCTGGCCAAATTGAGAACATTGTGGAAGGTGACTCTACGTCCACATATTGCGTAGCAATGTGGTGGCGCTGGGATGATGACAAGAATCTCCTCCTATGTTTGCACTGAAAACGTTTCGCGAGTCGAAAAAAAGGGAGTTCTTGCGTAAAATGAACGAATCAAAAAAAAATATGATTGAAAAAACCAAGGCCTACTTAAGTCCTACTTATAACCTAGGTTTTAACTCCTATAAGTCCACTTATGCATAAGTTCGATAACTAAGTTATTACATCTACAAGTTAGTTACAAAAAGCCACAGCCAAATAGTGGCCTCCAACCTACCGGCGATGGCCTCCAACCTAAGAGCGATGGCCTCCAACCTAGAAGCGATGGCCTCCAACCTACCAGCGATGTGCTCCAACCTAAGAGCGATGGCCTCCAACCTAAGAGCGATGGCCTCCAA